AAGTACCAAGGAGGTCCAAAGAGTCTCTTCTCCCTTGGCAGTGCTTGGCATCCCTTGGAGGACACATTTTAGGGTGATGCTGTGCAACCCCCCCCCCAACCTTGCACATGCTTTAAAGGAAACTTAACAGCTTCTGCTGTTTGGGGGGGAGGGGGTTGCAGCATTTTAGTCCAAGCCAGGCAAAATAATCGTCCCATTCTACTGCCACATATTAAATTCATAAGAGGGAGGAGGGATATCAGGATGACCTGCCTGGCCACAGGAAATGGGGGGAATCCTCTGCACTAGCTTCACCTCCAGTGATGCTGTGGACAGCAAGGCTGTGAACCCCCCTTCAAACCATGCACATGCCTTAAAGGAAACTTAACAGCTCCTGCCATACAATGTTTGGAAAGTAAGGCTGTGCTCCACAGCCAAGAAACTTCATGGGATCCCAATATCCTCAAAAAGGAGGGCAGGAAGGGACCTCAGGAGGTCATCTAGTCCAAAGCCTGCAAGTATATAAGGGGTGTGCACTGGGAACGCCTGTTCACCAGAGCACCCCATGGGAGGACTAGGTCCGACAGTCACAAATTCTTGAGGAGGACCCTTTTAGGCTGGTCATAAGGAAACACTTCTTTACTGTCCCAGTCCCCTGGGCCTGGAAAACTCCCCCCGAAGGTGGCGCCCCCCCGCCCCAGAGGCAGCGCAAGGCACCTACTCTAGATGCCTTCAAGAAGCACTTGGATGCCTTACTTGCCTATCTTGCTGGGATCATTTGACCCCTGCCCCTTGTGGGGGGGGGGGGGGGCGGACCCCATGACCCTGCCAGCTCCCTTCCAGCCCTCACATCTAGGAAAGCAGATGGGCCTCAAAGCGGGACCAGCCCAGCCCAGGCTTTGTCTAGCGGGGTCTTCGAGCCCTCCTAAGGATGGAGGCTCCCCCACTCGTGCGGGCAGCCTGTTGCAGCCCCCTGCCCCCGTCCCGGCAGCTCCCTGCCCCGCTCCCCAGCCAGTCCCAGCTGCGGGCTGCTCCCCGCGAGAGGGAGGCACTTACCGAGCCGGGCCGGGCCGAATCCAGGGCAGGGGGAGCAGGCAGTGGCCGCCGCCGGCGCCCGCGCCTGTGTGCGAGGGGAGGGGAGGGGGGGTAGCGCCGGGCTGCAGCCGCGCACTGACTCACCCCGGGCGGAGCGGGCTCAGCCCATAGCCCTGGCCCCGGGCTCAATGAGGCTCTTTCTTTCTCGCCAATCCGGGACGAGGGCAGCCGCCAAGCCCGAGGCTCTTCCCTCGCTGCCCGCCCGGGCTCCCTCCCACCCGCAGGGAGGCTGGGCTGGGGGAGGACGCCCTCCGAGGGGGGGACTTGAACTTGACCTGAGGAGAAGCGCCCCCCTCATGTAGAGCCTCGTGAGGCAGCACGTCCCCGCGTACTGCCCCGCCTCCAGGGCAAGGCACGTCCCCTGCACCCGAAAGCTTGGAAGAGAACCGGGGTTTGGGTCCCCCCACCCCCCCGCGACTCTCGGAAGAAAAAGATCTGGGATTCAAAGAAGGGGCTGAGGCTGCGCCTGGCAAGGAAGGGGGCGGGGGGGGCACATCCAGAGCTGAGGAAGTGAAAGGACCTTCTTCTTGCAACTTCTTGTTCCTCTTGAAAGCAGGCAGCCAATGCGGGGGGGGGAGGGGGAGGGGGGCATTGGGAAGTGCTGTGCATCGCACCAGTGCTTTGAAGCCTCCTCGCCCCCTCCCCGGGGCTGCAAGACGCGGCTTACCGCGGGGTCCGTCCTGCCCGCCCCGCCGGGCTCGCTGTCCCGCCGCCCCGTGCCAGGTGCCGGGAGGCAGCGCACGAGGAAGAGAGGGGGAAGGAGAAAAGGGGGGGACGGGACGGGGACAAAACCAACGCCAAGGCGTATTCCTTTAATTAAATAATAAGGATGATAACGATGATGACGATGAAAAAGCGTCTCCGTTTTGTCAAGCAGGGCTACATAATGGATTAATTGGTGGCTATTAACATGCCGTTTTATTGCGCCGAGCGCACAGAAGTCTGATTGTGAGCGAGGAGTGTTTTCAATGAGCGCGGAGTTATTTTAGCTGCAGACATGTTTACATTTCTGTGGTTGAGTCTATAACTTTCTCTTTTTCTTGCTTCAGAAATCTGGTCCGTGAAGCAGAGCCCTGAGCGCCCAGACATTCCGAAAAGTCTGCCAAAATAATGGGGGGGGGGGACACGGACACACACACGCACACACACGCGCGCGCACACACACACACACACACACAC